CACTCAGCAGCACGTGATGCCGTACATCGCATCGTCTGTTCGCTTCTCACCAATCTGCATCTAAATAGCCTTATGAATAGGTGACCGAGGTGCGCCAATGAGACCCATGCTACGAAATTCTGAAGTGGGCGTCAGTCATGAGGAAAGGTAGGTGAAACGGCAAGTCCAATAACATGGTCGGAAAGCGAAAGCTGACACAATCGCGCATTTGGCATCGGGTCGTCAGAACCAATGACAGAGAAACTTATGGTTCGGACAAAAGGGAGTTGCTCACCTGCCTACAGGCTAATCGGCCACCAAGAGAACCGGTACCCAGTTGATTTGTCAATGACACACATTCTGACACACAGTAAAGACTCGGATCGATCGATTACAGGAAATTTGAGAATAAGCAGGGTTTTGATGACTGATGGAAATACTGAACAATGAACTCCAGTCAGCTTAACGATTTGTGACAAGCGTGTTAGCCACTTGCTGATTGATTTGGCTTAGGATCACTCAGCGGCACTGGATGTTGATTTGTCGCGTAGTTCTGGACCCAGAGCAGGGCGTGTTCCCTCTTTCTCGCGCTGCCTATAAACCTATCTTCATGGTGGCATATGAACTGTCATGCAAAATGAGATTCTGTCCCAGTTTACCTGTCTCCGTCTTCGGACTAAGTTATTTCACTGAAAGGGTACCACTGCTTCGAAAAACGACAACTATTTCGAACTCATTGTCGTCATTCGTAACAGGGGTAAGAGTTGGAACAACATGGAGATTCCAGTTTATTTTTCGAAAGGCGAACTGCAAAGCTGTTCCATTATGGACATGATTGTTCCGCATTTTTCGCTTGTGTTTATTCGGAGTGCGATGCATCATCTCTCAGAGGACCCTAAATTTACAGTCTCCACAGGACAGCCTGAAGTTTTGTCGGACAAAATAGAACCATATTATGATGAACGTAATCAATAAATTCAACTTGCGGTCAGTGATAGTAATGTTCGAAACTACTTGCACCAAATTAGGAACCTCGAACGAGACCAAACAAGCAGACTCACTAGTCAACTCTGTGCCTTATGCTACACACTTCCAAAGATGTCCCGTGGTTGTCACTACTGGCGGTTGGTAAAATAATGCATGCCACGCTATGGGAGCGATGTGAGACGCAAGTTTCAAACAAAACACTCTAACCGTTCAAATGAAAAGCACAACTATATCAGTTGCAACGAAAAGAAGCCAAAAGACAGCCTCGATTTCGTGATTACCGTGAAGGCACTCTGGGTACCTCGAATGCACGATCGTTCTGATTCAGTTGCCCGTTGACCGATACCATGTAGATACTGTAGAGTACTGTGAGCACCTTCCTAGAAAACTCTTTAAAATGCTAAATTTCCATACTTTGTCTGCCTCAGTAAAACAAGCTCTCTTTTGGAGGAGGACAAAATTATTCGGTTGGATATTTTTTTCCCGAAAAGTAATTCTTCACGGACACCAACCTGAGGTAGATGAATCTGAATGTTGGCCGCTAACCAGGGAATGTGTGGAAATGACCGCGTCGACATTTCAGGGCAGCGCAGCCTCCACCTATTCTAGTGTTAGGCGTGAAGTGACACAGTAACTCTTGCAGGTCGTCACCAGATGTTAGGTCTTAGTTACAAATTATACGGTAACCCGTTTGTTTCTTTGGTGGTGTCTGTCGATCACTATCGACAAAATTTCCTGCTTAGTCTGAAGTTGAAAGTGATCATAGCCCTGTGATTTCTAAGGTAAGCTCAACTCCAGCACAGAGTTGGGTCTATACGTTTGATTCTTATTAGGTCTGCGATATCAGATTCAGTCAGCTAATTCAGAAACCTACTACGTTCACTCGTACTTATCAGTCACACTTAAAGTTTGGTTTTTATTTATCGGTTCATTCACTTATCGATTCCCACACTGAATGATTATAAAGTTTGCCCCAGACGCCACTGAGCCAGTTGGTTCTCTATGTAAATATATCTCCAGCAAATATCGTACCCAAGTGTTTACCATGGTTTGCAAATTTTGAGTACCATAAGTGATTGTCTTCAATCGTGCAATTCATATTTGTTAATCTGAGTAGTGGAGCATTTACAAGAGGCATTTGTCTGAAGATCTAGCACACATAGTTACATTAAAATCCACTGCACAGAGTCAGAATGTTTGAATTTCACATGGCTTCTCTATGCACCACGTTCAGTGGAGCTGTCT